ACCCTTTATTCTCCAACCCCAAATCCCTTGATTATGCATAACCTTGATGCACAAACGGCACAAAAGAAAGTTGCAGAGTAGAGAGAAGAAACGAAGAGGATTAAGAAGAAATCACTTGAAATCAACACAAACTCACCTATTTACCTCCTATCATTGATGGATTAAAGTCAAGGAAATGAATTTGGCAGTTAGGTTCGAATGGGTTTTTGAGTTTTAGCAAAATCAACTCTAAGTTTTGGAGATGTGGGAGAGGGATGAAAATACCTAGGTCTAACAGGGGAGGGAAACTCGGAATTTAGGGAGGGAAAATTGGGAATATATGGAGGGAAGAGAAAATGTATACAGGCGGATAATTAGTAATCTGTTTGTATAAACCCATTTTTTACTAACGGATATATTTTTCTGTTGGTATAAACCGATATATATTGACTAAAATTTTCTGTTGGTATAAATGGATTATATAGATGGATTCATATCCGTTAGTATAAACTTTCTTTGGTACAGGGCATTCTGTGTGTAGTGTAATATTAGTATTTATTTTAAAATATTATATTCTAATTGCAATTGATTATATATGTTTAAGTTAATTGGTTTTATATCTAAGAATATTTTATTATATATATATGAATTTTATATATACAATGAAATTAAGAAAATAATAAATCTTTTTTCAAATTATTATTCTTCTTTTCAATTTCCAACATGATATCAGAGCTATAAACTCCTAATTCTTCAATTTTATTATCGTTGTTTGGTTTTTTGAGTTGAATTTTTAAATCCATTTGAAATTTAAAACTCTGTTATTGGGATCTCTTTTTCTACATATTGGATTATTTATTTTACAATTCTTAGATCCTTTTTGAGGTATTTTATTCAGTTGTTATTTTGATCTTGACATCTATTTCTTCATATTTTAGAGATTTTCTTTTTAGTATTGTAAGTTTTACTAATTTTATAATAAGTTTTAAAAGATTGTAATTCATCATGCTACTACTGTGGGTGCCAAAGAAGTGATAGACCAACTTAATATCAATATTGAATATTTAAAACATGTGATATTAAATCTTTTTAATATTCCTATTGCTTTATTGCTTTATCTGCTAAAAGAAAAAGCAAAAAAGATAAATGCAACGCAATAGAGCATCAATAAATGCAGTTTAATTATTCTATAGGCAGTGTGATATATTAACACACAAAGAATTTTTCCGGATATAATTTCATCAATCCATCACACATACCATATGGGATTCCCAGGTGAAAGTCTTGAAGTCTAGAAACATCATTAAAACGAAGAAAAAGTCTCCACAATCTCCTTCACAGGCTCAGGGGAGTTCTCAGCTGCAGTTGAGATA